ACTCCCTATATAAGCGATCTTTCTTCTGCATCATTTTAACATGCAGGGGGGTTACCCATGGTTTCCTTATCTTCCTATTTACAGTTACTGTTTTGACCGGAAAATGCAAGTCATAAAGTTCTTTGAAAATATGTAAGAATTCGCTATAAGATTCATCCGCGTCTATCATAGAGTAAATAGGGGTCCAATCACAGTTTAAGACCGGGTCCCTAAATGCAAGTAGGCAATCGTTTGACATTTTCCGAAAGGTGGCGGTAGCCTTCGAACTCTCTGTCTGCGTTTCGTGATTATACAAGGAAAAAAAAAAATTGGACAGTGATCGCTGATATCGCTGCTAATGGTTCCAGCGGCTTTGACTTTGGTAGAAGTATTGGTAATAAAAAGATCGATTGCATTTGATGTGGATAGTGTGACTCTTGTCGCGGATGTAATGACGTTTTGAAAGCCCGTAGAGTTTAGAGTATTATTGAGCATTCTTGCTTGAATTGAATCCTCTAATATATTTACATTAAAATCCCCCCCTAGTACCAAGCGATAGTTGTTTACAGAAACGTAATCTAAGAACTTTTCAAGAAAATAAATAAAATTTCGAAAGTCTGCCGAAGGTGGACGATACAAAACACTAACAATACTGTTTCCACAATTTAGACTTAATACTTCATAATCACATGTAACTTCAGAAAAGGTTTCCATCAACCCACATTTAATAAATAACATAGCCGGAATATAGACGCTTTTAAGCAGCTGTGAATGGGCGCCGCCATGACCGACATTCAGTTTTTGCTTCCTCTTATTCCGCTTACCTCACTTCGTCATTACCATAACAGGCCAAGTTATTGCCATTTTAGATTCTACTGTGTCCTTCTCAACATTGACCTTGGTGGAGGCTCGTCAAAGCCAGTTTCAGTAGCTCAGCATATTGGTAAAACAAGACAAAGTCAGCAATAGCGGCTGTAATCCGGCGCGTGTTTCAAGCATCTATACATCTCGATCAAAATACCTTACTTCCTTAGGAAGTATTCATAATAATATTTCTAAGACGATAAGTGTTAAAACAATATACCTATATTAGGCACGTATTATTAAGCTACAATTTAGATAAGCGCCCTTTACTTTTCCATCAGCTTTAGCGCTGTGCGAAAGACACCCAGAATGTTAGCAGAAAGAGGCACTCAGTGAGGAAATACTTAGCGTTCAGAAGAACGACACCGCAGCCATCTTGTTGCTCAAAATCATTGTTTTCAGTTATCTGTAGCTTTATCTCGAAGCGCAGAAAACGCTTATCCATTTCTCCAGAAATGTTGTAACAAACTGAAATCACTTCAGCTTTCTGACACCGTATCTAAGCGGAGAGCAAGTCGTCTGCTTCTTGTGCAGGAGTTACGGTGACGTCAGAGCAACGCCGAGCTCTGATTGGATTAGATGGAAAGGATAGTGGGTATACCTCAGTGCTAGATGCCTTAAGGCCTACCCAATATTTTTGTTTTAATAAGAGCCAATAAGAGATTGGCGTTCTGTCATCATCGTAACCCTAAGTGCAAGAAGCACGAAACAAAATGGCGGCGCCCACAAAACATTCGAGGTATAAGGTGCCGATTTTCTGGAACGCAGCTCTTTTAGTGCTTCTATACACCTTTCCAAGAAACACTCGACCCCAAGGGCAACAGACCGTTTTCGAGCCCAGTCATTGGGTTTGAAGCTAGACTCTCACCGGCGTCACTTCGAACCCTACCGAGTGGACTGTGATTTCGGTAGGCGCAGCCTGCGTAGGTGCAGTTTCGGGCGGCGGAGAAAAGCTCACCGACCTTTGATCGGATGCGGAGAAAACCTCACCGATTTTCTTTTTTAACTTCGCGGATTCTGCGTCAAACGTGGGAATTTAACACAATTCGAATTCGTCACTTCATTAAAAATATATATTTTATATTTGGTATTTTACACAAACGATATATTTTGTATTTTATACAAAATACAAAATATATCGTCTTTTCCCGCTGTATTTTGTACTTCATTGTGTATGTGTTTTCCCGAGGACATTAAAAAAACACTGAACCACATTAAAAAAAAATTAGACTATTTTTGTTGGGTACGCGCGCTACAGAACGAATGCGGCTGGAATGTTGCCTTTTTTTTACGGTAAGTTTTGACGGTGCCGCTCGGTTAGCCACTTGTCAAACGACAAAGCGCTTAGCTGTCGAAAATAATTCACAACAGAACCTAGCTATAGGCATGCATTTTGCACGCTTACAAAAACGTGTTTTCCGAAGGACACCAAATACAATTTAGCAAGTGTTTACATTCGAACAATATATTGTACGTACCACACAATGCAACGTTATCTGAAAATAATTTATTTGAGAAAGATCTCAAATAAAACAGTCACAGTGGACGACATTTACATATTAACGACCGGACGGGATCCAAGATGACTTTATTTTGGGGCACGTTTTGGGAAGAGCTTACTTTTTTCACACTAGCGCCAAGGCAAAGGACGGGCGTGACTGACACCAACCGAAGAACTATTTTTGGCTGACTGAGAAGAACGCTACGCGGATTATCTCTGGGAGGAGGGAGAACAGTTATCATTTTTCACAAAATCGCGTCGAGGGCCGTTCGACGTCCCTCCCCTTCTTCGTTTCCCGTGAATGTCGAGCAGAAACGCATGAATGGAAGGCACTTACCAACCCTATTTCTCACAGTGGAAGATAACACAACAGGGTACGCAACATGCATCAGAAAAATAAAGTGGAAACTTTCAAGAGGGGCCAGAAAACGTCGAATGTAAAACCGCAAAATACGGGTAGAGAATCGCGCTGAGCGGGTTTCCACAGTCCAAGAGAGTGGCCGAAAATTTCTAGCTGATAAGGGGGCGAGAGAGTCGCACCAGCCGCATCGGCATCAGCAACATGGCGGCGGCCTAGAAGCGTTTTTCTGAAAGGTGTATAGGAGTAGAGATAGCCAAGAAACGAAACGATACAATCGGTGGAGTTTGGCTTACGGCTTAACCGTGTCGGGCTCACTGCACCGCGTTTTACTAAACCATTAAAATAGAAAAGGGAGCGTGTTGGTGAACGTTCAGTCACTGACATAAGAAACGCAAGACGGGGCGAATTATGTTCACACTTTTTGCTTCCCGATTATACGTTTTCCTGATTATAAGATTTGCGGTGTTCTTCTTAGCTCATAGGGAGTATTAGGGAATAGTTGTTGCACATCCGATACGGTACGATGGGTCCTCCGATACGAAGTGCGCATGTGCGAGTCTTCTGTAGTTGCGCATGCGCAGACCGTACCGGAAGGCCGATCGTACCGTATCGGATATGCCAAGACGGTTCCCTAAAACTCCCCAATGCCGCGAACGCGTCGGTTGCGAAACGACAACAACGTTCGAGGGTTTGACCACGTTCTGCGTTTTTTAGACTGTCAGAGACTCTAGTCAAATGCCAACGAACAAAAACGCTATCGCGATGCGTTCACAGGTTCTCCTGGTCTGGGTGGTCTACCTCGCAGCCCTCGCACTGACTGTGAAAGCGAATGGTATGGTATGCACCTCCTTATACTTCGTGAGATGGCTTCGAGTTCTAGTTGAGTTCCGGCTTTTACAATTTGACAGTCAAATTGCGCTTATTCTTAGTGAATACCAAAAAAACGAAGGACCTGGCCAAGTGTAAAGCACATTTGCTATGAGCGATTCGTCATGCGCCAAATGACAATTCACGTGTTTGGGGTTGAAGGTACTACAATTAGTAAACTAATTGCCTAAATCATAGATTTAGGCAATTAGAGTGTTGAATTTATTCCCAGATGCCAAAAGATCCGCCCAACAGACGTGACTGCAACAGACGTCCCATAGTCTGGGGAACTGTGCAACTTGTATAAACACAAATAAATCGGTATTGTTAGACAAAAATGTGATTCGCGTCGTAGCAATTGCTTCACTTTACTCGCAGACAACCCCTCTTTTATAAATATAAAGTGACGCAAAATTATTAGAATTATACACATGCTACAAAGTATGCGATATATTTTTAATTTAGAAATCATTCGTGACAACGAAGTGATAGTCTAACTGTAGTATTACGCCGCGTCCTGGAAAGCGCCACTTCCTAGAAAAAAAAACAAAAAAAAAAACCTACGGTCTGAAGATGCTTCAGTGCACACTACCCATCCCCTTGAACTGTGTTCACGTCGAGATTACAAACAGGAAGGTGCTGTACCAATTTTTATTTATAACCGTGCGTTATGTATCTTGTAATAACTCGTTGATTCGTGATGAATGTGTTATCACATGTTGTGCTCGCCAAGTGGACAAATGTTGCGGGCATGGGACCTGCCAAAGCCGCACTATTGTAGCTCTTTCCTTTATCCCCGTACTCTCCCTTTTTGTACTCTGGAAGCAACGTTACTAAAACACTCAGTTGGCAAACTCGCCGTCGAAACCTGGGCCGCTGGCGTCCACCGAGACCGAGCTAAATGCGACAACAGCGCCACTCTTTGTCACTTGTCTGTACTGTGGTCACCTTGAGCTTTTTGAAAGCCTGTTTTTGCGTAAAAACAAACGGAAAAGACTCTTTTTGTATGAAATTTATTGGAGTTTAGTACCAAATGATGGGCGCGTGATCTTTTTATCATCTTTAGTTCGCAAGGTTTTGCGGAACAATTACTATTGTTTTTATACAGCCATGCCTCAGCGGTCCTTTCGGGTAGCGCGTCCAGACCTAGGTGCATTTCAACTTCGGTACACCGACGCCGCGCTTCCCCTGGGCTTTAGGGGTGGCACCCCTGGACCCTCTTCCGCTGTATCTCTTCGTAAAGCCAAAATAGAAGTCACGTGCAGTTCCTCGAGTGGCCGCTGCGGGAGAAATGGTGTCGTTGTGTTCGTCATTAGCTCGGTGCTCGGAGACAGATTGGGGCCACTCTTCAAAGCTGTCTCTATGGGAGTTTCCCAACTGAGTGTTTTAGTAACGTTGTCTGGAAGTAAACAAGATTGAAGTTAAAATTGAATTCATTGCACGTCCAGACCCGAGTGCAATGTGTCCGGACGGCGGCATCTGCCCCGTGGGTCAGACTTGCGGCGACGTCGGCGACGGCCGCTACGCCTGCTGTCCCTACAGCAATGCGGTCCCTTGCGGCGACAAGTTGCACTGCTGTCCCCAGGGACACCTGTGCCATCTGTCCACCGGAACCTGCGTCGGAGATCTCGGGACCCTGGCCATGGTTAGGTATCAACATGCCACCGAGGCACCCAGCGGAAATGCAAATTGTGACGAACGTACGAGATCTTCAGTTCTATAACTTCTGATCAAACGGTTCGAGATGATACGCTCCCGCTTCACCTTACGATAGACCGCTGTGGAACGCTGCGAGCCAACGAAGCCAACACGATGCCGTGCTAGTGTCATGTGACCTTCGGGAAAGGCACAGCGTCGTGCGGCGCACGTTGTCACGTGCCACGTTTGCAGGAGTTGCTTGGAAAGGTGGTACATTCGCAGCGCTGGATAGGCTGCGGTGGTTTGTATAGGGTCTGCTGCGGGCCATCGTAAGGAGAAACGTAGTTTACCGGCTGTCTCAAGTAGCGGCCAGGCTCTTTAAATCGACCGCGAAATTAAGTTTCTTAACCTATCGGGCTACGATTTTGTGCAGCTTTACCCACAGATGGGGCATTGCTTTCTATATGATTTGCAAAGAGCGATCTTACCCGACGAAAAGGTAAAAAAAAAAAAGGCTTAACTAAAATGGAAACGCAGCGAAGTTACCGCTCTTCAAACAATAGGGCGTTTTATTGATTGAAGACCGGTAGCTTCACTTGGTTTGCAGAGGAGTTAAGCCTTTTTTTCCTTTGCAATGGGGTCTCGAGTGTGTCTGCCAGTTTTTGGGAGGAAATCTCTTGTAGCAGACAGGGTGCAACGTATACATAAACTCGGTTTAAAAAAAAACTGAAAAGGTTTAAAAAAAAAAAAAAAAAAACGAGTTACAGGTGAATTTTAGAGTATATTTGTCCTGTGAATTTGAATACCGTTTGACGCGAACTTACAATAGACGCGAGAAAAAACGAAAAAAAGAAAAGAAAATCGCTGGGCGTGATGTCATACCTAGAGTTTCAACTTCTTTGTGCTTGCCGCCTGCGAGCTTAAGAACGCCAGCAGCGTTTTTGTCTGTTAAAGTAAGGCTTGCGGAAGGCGCTGAAAGGTTGAGATCTCCTTATAATACGTCACAATTATCTCCTCTCACCGAACGAGCCACGAAGGAGGGGCTTCAGCACTATTTTATGAAGTGCTGTTGTGTCTACTTGGGGCATCAACCTGACCTCTAAATTTTATGATTGTGATCGTGGAGATCAAGAAAAGATGATTTAAAACTTTTTTTTTCTCAAATAGAGAACCGCTTTAGTATCTTTGATCCGAAATTTGGATTTCGCGAAATAAGGCAGCAGAAGCGTTGAACCGGACCATATGAACTCCTAAACGTCACTTATACATCGATATACCAAACGGATGGCCGTATTGTTGGAAAGAAGGGCGCCATCAAGCGAGAAATGTGACGTCACGATTCTCTTGAAGCAGTTGAGAATGAGGGGAAGCGGCCTGGCTTCTCTCCTCCTCGCTTCGGTTCACCTGCTCGTGTGGACGAGACGAAGACGAGGGAATGAGAATCGCGACGTCACACAACTCTTTAGCCTCGTCGGCCGTGTTGAATCGCTCACTTCTGTTAAAAAAAATACGGACATCCGCTAGAGATATCGCTGTACGAGGGATGTTTTTAGGCTTTCCAGCGTCCCACCCATCGCTCCAGCCTTGTTTTGTGAGCTACACATTTCGCTTCAGCATCTCATTAAGGAACTGTCCATAGCCGCTGCAGTACCCCCTCCACCAAAGATCTGCCTCCCGTCATTTAGGGACGGCTATTATGGTAACTAGAATGTACTGAATGGAACAGAGAGGTTCCGAAGCACAGCGTCTATATACTTGCTTCATCATTATGCCGAGAGTGCAGCCAATGCTACAAGCATGAGAGCACGATCGAGGTCGCTGCTTTGAAAAGTCCTTCCACAAAGGGAGCACCCGCGCTAGAAATGCACGTCTCAAAGCTAGGAGCACGGGTTAGCTCGCGCTTGTAGCTTTGGCCAAAGCGTCAATTGAAGGTGAATGAAGCACAGATGGCGCTTCACTACAGCGCCTCCGGAGAACGCAGTTTTCAAACTCAGGCGCTTCAAACAACGGTTGACGGACTTCAGGGGAGTCGGGGCATATTCCGCTCCGCACAAGTTTCACAACTGAGCCAAATACTCTACTATAGTCAGTTACTAAGTGAGAACGGCGGAGGGGAGTTTACGTTGTCCCGCCTTAAAGGGGCCCTGCAACGACTTTTTGGCGGGTTTTTAATTTGCACCGAACCTGAGCCCACTGGACGTAGTAACTTTGTGAAACTTTTTTTTTCTCGATTTTAGCTTTATTTGGGAAGTTATAGGCATATTAAAATTACAAAAACAAGCAACAAATAACTTCTTCGTAAGGTCCTTGGCCCTGGCTTGGGTGGTCGTCAACTGGAGTAGGGATAGTGAGCTCAGCGAGCGGTCACGGCTGCCGCACTCCGTGTCGACGGCTCGAGAGGGCGCCACTAAAGCATGCTCTGGCTGAGCTGTATGAAGCGGGCAGCCCGGGCGGCTTGCATTGCTTTTGCTACGCGATTAAACACTAATTGGGCATGACACCTCATTCGTCACACACGACAGCAAACACGGGGTAAATATCAGTTCAGAACGAGAGCCACTTCGCGCTGCCAAACCGCCAAACGGTCAAATCAGAAGCCGAACCTGCTCGCCGAAGGCCTTCGGAACGCTCGGAACCGGTCGGATCCTCCAGCCCATATGACCGCAGCGCCGCCGCGTACATCCGGGACCTTTATACGCTCACCGCTTCACCGCAATGCGTGGCGCGCGTCGGCGCCTGATCCCACTAACCCTTTCCGCCATCCGCCATCCGCCATCCGCTTGGGGGCGGGTATGTCGACGGGTCATTTCTTGTTTCCGTGCATTATGAACTTCATTTTTTTTTTCTGATATAAAATGCTGAACAAAAACTAGTGTCATAAATAATTGGAACTGTTAGCGCCAATTATATTTTGTATTTCGACTAGAAAAAATTTTTTTTTTTTGGTGGCTGTGATTAGTTGTAAGGCAGGAGCTGGTTAGGACCGACAACGTCACGATGTCGTCACATGCCGCGCGCGTTCGGTACCATGGGGCGCCCCCGTAGGTGGAGGAGGCTTCCGCGTCGCCCGGTTAAAATATGACGCACTGATATTTAGTTATTCTCTCCGTGGCCGCTAGGTTGCCCGATTCACGAACCGCGAAAAAGGTAAACGCTCAAATAGAATTGCAGGGCCTCTTTAAGTGAGAGCTTTCTACCCTCGACAACGCTTCGGCGTCTCGCCCACCGTTGAGCGCAAGCGCGCAGCCAAAGCGCGGTGCAAGTCATTGATTGCGTGCTGCTGGAGGCCGGGCTTTTAAAAGGCACGCCCAGCCGTTCTCACTCTGTCAGTGACTATGGGGGAACACATTCTACTCCGCTCAAGTTTCATTAGACAGCGCACCTACATACCAAGTCCTCTTCAGCGGTATGGGCACCCCGTGCCAAAGAGAACGCATTCGCGTCGCACATGTCTACGTTGTCACGCTTTCGGGCTACGCTGAGGGAGAGGTTTGTGGCCGGTGCACCGTGGCACCGGATTCGCCAGGACCGGAGACGGCTGTCTCCGCTAACTCGAGGGGTTTACACGAAGATAGATAAAGGCAGCCACCCCTCCGAATTCAAAGGGGAAAACCCGAGGCTGAGCGCGTCCCGCCCTTCTAACTGCGTAAGGCCTTTTGGCGCCACGTCCATTGGATTTTCGCGGAGTGAGGCGTATTCCCTGGTAAGGTATTAGGTTACCACAACGAGGCGCCGATCGGAGGATGGGTAGTCCCGCATGGAACGCTGGGAGCACTGCCGCGCGAGGAGACCTGGGCTATTGGACTCTAAAAAAAAGAGGTGTAGCTTTTACACCCCTTGTCACAAATTTGACACCCAAAACTTCAGTTCGACGTACAGCGCAATAACATCGAAATGACGGCAGCAACTTTTACGAGAGGCTTGATGACGGTTGGATATAACCTATTCAACAGCTAAACTACTCGTCAAAGACTTCAAAAGAAAATCACTGAGGTTTTCGCAGTAGGGCCAAGAAAACTCCAATAACTTTTTTTGCATTGAGTCATACGTGCATTAGATATTTTAATAAGTTGTACAACTCGGTTATCAAGCCGCTCGTGAAAGTTGGTACCTTCGGTTCAACCTCAGTGCGCTGTATGTCGAACTGAAGTTTTGGGGTGTCAAATATGTGACATGGGGTGTAAAAGCTACACCTTTTTTTTTTAGAGTGTGGAATTGAGCCTTTCTTGTATTGAAGGCATCGACGCGGGACGATAGGAAATGGGGACTCTTGTATCTTTTAAAACGGGCATCTCCGGCCCCGCTGATTACGATGGCGCCTTTCGGTGTCGGATTTCAAAATATCGAATATTTTGGGTGCTTCACGGCTAAAACTGCAAATTAAGTTACTTTTGCAGCATGGAACGCTTTTTAGCGGAACCCCTACTCCCAGAATCTTGTGCTTCCGTCCGTTAGTCCGTGCGCTTCCCCGCTAAACTTAGTGCCAAAGATGTGCTGGCGTACAATTATACACCAATTCAGGTCGCGAAGTATTGAATTGGTGTATACGCACGAAGCGACGTCATCTGGCATCACGACTTGACGCAGTGACGTCACGTCACGTGCCCACGTCACGTACCGTCGGGCGAGGTGGCTTAAGGTCAGGTGACCACGTCCCTCGATGTTGCGTGACGTCTTCACATGGGAGCGCTTTCAATTTCTCGCTCAGGATCACGTGGCTTGTGGGCTGTCTTGGTAATGCGAGCTGCGAGGAGTAGGTGCAAGCGTCAATCGTCCGCAAGCGTCGCGTCTCCAAACTTGGATCAGCTTCTTCGACCGTTATTATACTCTCCACACGCCAACACACGCACGCGCATGAACCATGAGTTCGCACCGGAGGTGTCCGCAATTTAAATTGCAAGCTCTCTCCTATGGTGCAAGTTGCCCCCCCTCTTAAATCTAGGCCCTCTAATATACCGGGGAACCCTAAGTTATATTTCATAGAAGACAAATAACAAAGAGAGGAAGAGAAAGAGATATTCAAAGTGAGAGAGAGGATTTATGTTCGTTTTTACTTCTTCTTTTCATTGCAGCCAGCACAGTAATGTGCCATAATCACCAGTACTGCGAGAGGGGCACTAAATGCTGCAGAACCAATGAAAGTTTCGAATCTTACTACTGCTGCCAATACCCCAACGGCACTTGTTGCTCAAGCGGTACCTTCTGCTGCGACGCGGGTTACGTTTGCGACTTCAAGTACACCATCTGCAGGATCAAGGATTCTTACACCCCCCACGTTCGGGGCCTCAGCGAGCTCCAGAAGGACCCGACAATTCTGAAGAGCCTTGGAATGCCAGCCAAGTCCAACAGGGCAAAGACAAGTACGAAACAAACTAATGGTGAATTCCACTGGTCGTTTTTGAGCGCGCCGGAATCGGGAAACGAGATCCGATATAGAGCACACGATTCGAACCAAGTCGCTCCGCCTCCTGACACCCATTGAAACAATCACTCCTTTGGGATCGGCGGATGCCTCCCTGTCACTCACCTTCCCGAAAGTCCCCCTGCCGCGGTCCCGGATCTCGAAGCACATGTTTTCGCAGGTCGCGTTTAACAACCCTTGTTCAACGCACGAACGAAGTTAATTATGACGTGAAAGATGAGTGTCGATAAGCGATGTGCACCAGCGTAGCCCGCTGGCCTCGTGAACGGTGTCCAATTACGTCTCGACTTTCGGCCTCTTCTGCGGAGGTTCGAAAAGGCAGTCCAATTTATGCGAGACATGCAAGCAGTCTAGATCGTCGTCGTCGCTACTCGAGTAGCTGATGCCTGAGGAGCTGCTTGAGCAAGTTGACGACGATCTGTAATCAAGCAGAAGCAGCAGTAAATCGGGCGGCACTTCGTGAGCACTCATTGCGAATTCTTCAAAGACGAGATGCCCGGCGAGGAAGTAAGTCACGTGTGCGCGCCGAGCTTTGGCCAGGCTGGCTTTCGGTCGAATACGCCGATATCGGTGGGGCGACTTTTCTCGAATCCGGATCAAGATCTGGAGTGGGAGCTGATTCTAAAACGACGATTGGAACACGTCCGTCTCGATCCCGATCATCCGGCGAAATAGGTGCGTTCCAGAAAAGTTGATCCCGGCGCGCTCCAAAACGACCTGTGGAATTAGCCGTAACACCGATTAGTCCGGTGATCATGGTGGCCGAGCAGCCTCCTCATTTTCTGGTTCATGACTGCGTAATGGCCCCTTCTAAACTCTAAAGCCGGAGTAACACTGCACATACATCATACAAAAGAGGGTCTGCAAACAAGACTCACGGCAATATCCGTGGTTAGAATGCCGCGCGCCAAGTTTCTCCTTGAACTCGTCGCGATGCGGCATTCGAATCGTGGAGATCCCGCGGTGACTCGCGTTCGATTCTGTATGGAGACTTTCTTTTGTATGTTGTATAAGCAGTGTGACCTCGGCTTAAAGACCAACGACCAGTTCGCGCTTTCCACTTTTCCCCCGCTTCCTCCTTTCCCCCTTTTGCCCAGTCCACCATTGCCTGTTTCCTCCTCTCCTATGGTGAGGAGGATCTTCTGCCTTGCAGTATCTCGAGTCTGGTCGTCGGCCTTTCATAAATCTGGAGCATCCACGTTCCAAAAAAGCACTGGATAAAACCAGAAAACATAAAAAAAAAAACATCACCATGCACAACGTTTCATTGCGGACAGTGTTTTTTTTTTTTTTTTTTCATCTATAAACATATTTTTGGCGTTGTCCTTGGGCGAGCTCCCTCCGTAGATTGCAGCGATTGGTTCTTTCAAGTATTTTGCGGAAAAGTTGACGCTCCAGCTTTTTTGAGAGGAATGCATCGGACTGCCATCTGGCTTTTCTCCAAACGCATCCGCGGGGTTTTGCCGGATGCCGGTAGAGGCAGCACTTCGTAGATAGCAAACCTCCAATGCTTGAATTCTCGGCATCACCTAAAGAAGGCCCACCTGTGAGCCAGTGCGAGTGCCACGTCAGCGTCCGGCCGAAACTCGTGTCCAGTCACTGAAAACACGAGTCCCGGCGTAACTGAAAGGAGTCTTGGACTCCTTTGAGTTACGCTGAAAATTCAGTACTAAGGTTTTGTTATCTTGAACCTAGCTAACAGGCGGCTGGGGTTGAGGAAAGGGGGGGGGGGGGGGGAGGGAATGGAGTACGAACCGGAAATGTCGGTTGTCTTTGGGCGTGAATGGTTTGCGGGCAAAGGTCAACACCTCCTAGACAGCTTTCAAGCTTGTGCGTCACGTGAAGTCATATCACGTGACGCGAAGGCTTTGAAAGCTATCTAGGAGGCGTTGCGAAGGTTCGACTTGTGGGATTAGATTGGAGTTTGTTACACTTAACAAATTACTTGAAGTCGATATCGTTTTTAGGCCACTGTGTGATTGCTACGTGAAGTGTTTTCAACGGTAATTTTAACTTTAATTGAAATGTAAGAAATTACTTCAATTACTCGTTGCTCTTACGAAAATATCTGTCAATGCAATGGCACGAAAGATCTGTAGGAATATAAATGGAAAATAACATCGGAGAGAAGAAACCCCCATCACTAAGAGAAAACCACGATGTTCCGGGCGAACGTCGTTTTATTTGGTCATTAGAACTATTTTAAAATTGTCACGAGCTTACATTTCTATTCAAAATAGCAAAAGATGAGAAGTGCATACCGGATATTTTTCTATCCCTATCTTCTGGGAAGGAGATGAAACCGTCGCGTTCCTTGTTGCTAAATTAAGAACTACACCGATGGAGACATCAACAACAAAGATGATTGGTTTTTGTTTTGACGCTGGTGGACATAGCGCCTCCTATAGTTTGATCTCCTCGCCAATAGGGCAGTCACAATGGATTCAAGCGCTGTACAACGAACAGGAATAATCGGGGATTGTACAGAGGAAGCTAGAACTTTCATAAATTGCGCATTAATTATTGTTTTTGCCTTATGACGTTTTAAGGCGCTCTGTGCTCGGAAGAAAATGAGACCAACAAACTTGCCAGGGCCAACGGCGGCGTGTTCGCAGACTAACCGCAGAACTAGAGAGGATTGTAAGCTGTGGTGCCATCTTGCGGTAGGCGCAGCAAGCAGACAACAGAGTCCGTCGTCCACGCGCGACGTCATTCCAAAGATGGCGCCACAACTTTCAACCATCGCGTTTCCAACTAGCGTATTTGCCACGTCCTAAACTGTGATCCCCTAATTTCCGCCTGATGACGTCAGAGTGTCATGCTTCTTCCTGTTCGATCCTGAAGGGTGGTATGCAGCTGCGAAGGTAAATGTGGGAGCCGCCTGTTCCGCTGCGGGTAGCTGTATACAGCAGCCTGACAGTCCACGGTATCTTCGGCATCCATGAATTGGAATGCGGCGACGCCGGCGACAGTGGCATTCGCTCGTACGTTCTACCGGAACTTTAACGACCAACCAACAGAATCGTGACATCCGACAAGATGACACGCCGCGGGTTCTATGACGCAATTTACTGCTATATTGGGACCACACCCACTGTGTAAGTTGTATGGGACGCTAAACACAACAGCCGGGGACGCGTTCCACTCACCGTATATAGTAATACAGACCATGCATTGTTTCTTCACGTGCAGTTAAGTTCGAGAACTGTCCGGACGGAACGAGCTGTCATTACGGCTCCAGCTGCTGCCAGAATGAGGACGGCCGCAATGCCTGCTGCCCTTACGAGCGTGCCCAGTGCTGCGACAATGAGCGTTGCTGTCCTTGGGGTTTCAAGTGCAACGACGCAGAGAAGACCTGCACCAAGGACGGGACTGTCAAGCCAATGGCTGCCAAGTACCGAAGCTTCAGAAATCCCGTGCCTAACATCGACAGCTGTGAGTTGACGTATTCAGTTTATTATAACGAAGGATTCTAAAAAACGCGCGCTTTGATCGCTGAATGAAACACACTTGGACAAGAAGTACACTCTATAATGTCTCTGAGTTCACTTTCCTTCTGAACACGGAGATAGCCAAACACGGAGATAGCCAAACACGGAGATAGCCAAACACGGAGATAGCCAGTCACGGCGAAGAAATAAAAAATGGCAGTGAGTGACTAAGCTTATATTAATATTAGAATTTAAAAATACGATGGGTGCAGAGAAAATGAGCAAATGAAACGTCGTGCTAATAGACCCTTTCCAAAAGTCCGCGCCAGCGTCTGTCCGCCATTGCTTGATCACATACTTGATCACGTAAATAACTAAAGGCTGCTGGACGTATCGCTGGGAAGCATAGAAGCTTTGTCCACCCCTTTATTAAAATATACGGGCCCCAAGCTTTCACTGATACACTGCCGTTGCTTCCCATAAGAAGCACAACAAGTATGGTCCAAACTGGAAACCCCTACGATGACTTTTGTCTTGACTCGGAGGCAGGCACTTAGCCAGGAGGGAGGACCATGCGGCGCGGGCCCCCTACCCCCCGAAATCTTCCATTTTGCTGGGGCCTCCTCTCCACCTGTCGTGTCCCAGCGAGGGACAACGGCAGGGACGTCGTGACTGAACAACCTTCATCAGGCCAAATGTTTATTCAGGGCGCAAGGACCCAGCTCGAGAAGGAGAGAAAGACGAAGTGGCATCTAGTGGCCGAGAATTATAGATGTGACAAAGATGTGGCAATGAAAGAAGAAGTGAGAATACAACATTCCCCCCCCCCCCCCCCTGTTAAGAAAAGAAGAGAAAGAGGAAAGAAGAAAGAAGTAGACACAAAACAAATGCAACACAAATTACATAGGACTCAATGCAATATACAAAGTATGATAGACAAGAATAAATAAATGTACAATAACCACAATAGGAATCAGCACGGTTTGTACATAATAATATACACGGAGTAATTACAAGCTTTGTACAAAAATTGACACACGCAAAAGATACGAAACGTTATAAACATTAGGCATTTGTAAATCATACTATCAAAAATAAATTACGGAGGTGACACCCAGGATATGGAGACGCGTCTTCGGTTTCCTTCCGTGGAGGAGGAGCGCTGGCGACAGGCCTGTTGTGGCATGTGGGGTACACCGGTACACCCCTAGGTAGTCAGTGACTGCTTCTTGTAACCGACGCTTCTCAGCGGCAGCGAGCTGAATGAAGTTCTTCAGTACTCGATTGAACCTTTCGACGAGCCCATTGGCTTGCGGATAGTACACCGACGAGTAGACGTGGTTTATGCCTCGGTCTTTTAGGAAGTCCTTAAACTGTAAGGACGTGAACTGTGGCCCGTTGTCTGACACGAGACAACCTGGATAACCTTCCCGAGCGAAGACTGATGACAGAAATGTCATCACTCGAGAGGTTGTCACGTCGTGGCGAAACTGAACCTCTGGCCATTTAGAAAAATAATCAACAAGAGTGATGGCATACCGGCATGCTGGCTCTGCTCGTTCAAATGGACCGACAATGTCGATGGCGACTTTGGCCCATGGCCGCTCCGGAAGTGGAACTGGCTGCAAGGGTGTTGGTGAAGCTTTGACAGGCTTGTCTGTCGCTTGGGCAGCTTCTGATCACACTTTCGGTTTCACGATCCATGGCAGGCCACCAGTAGAGGTCTCGGAGCCGACTCTTGGTCCTGACGATTCCTGGATGGCCTTCGGGAGCAATCTCAATCAGTGTATTTCTCAGTGTCGTAGGAATTATAACATTTTCTCCTCTCATCAGCATGTCATCTACAACTGAGAGTTCGTCACGAACATGAAAAAAGGAAACAATGTCGTTGGACAAAAACTTCTGCGACGGCCAGGATGAAACTACATAATCCATCACTTGACTTAGGATGACGTCATCTGTCGTGGCTTGCTGCAGCTGTTCTTTTGTCACGCAAGGAGTGACGAACGACACCATCTCCTCTTCAAATGATGTCCCACCTTCCGTGTCAGCTACTGGCAAGCGTGACAGAGCATCCGCCACACGGTTGTCAGAGCCTCGCTGATACTCAACCGTGAAGTGATACATCAGCAGACGTGAGGACCATCGTGTGATGCGCAGCGGACGATGTCCTGTACCGCGTGTTGACAGAAGGGCAATCAGTGCCTGGTGGTCGGTACGTAATGTAAAGTGGCGACCCCATAGGTAGTTATGCCATCGCTCACATGCCCAGAGACATGCCAGGGCTTCTTTTTCCCAACAGAATACTTTCGTTCTGCTGGAGTGAGCGCACGAGAGGCAAAAGCAACAGTATGGACTTGTTTCCCCCGCTCGTGGCTGGAGGACAGCCCCAAGCCCATATGCAGACGCATCTGTTGCAACGATTATCGGCAGGGCGGGGTCGAACATCCGAAGCAATTGACTGGATTACAAGAGAAATTTCAACCGTTTAAAACTTTCGTTGGCCTCGGGGTCCCAAATGAATGGAACGTGTTTGCGCAGGAACCTGCGAAGTGGTTCCACTTCAGTCGCAAGTCTGGGATTAAATCTTGAATAGTATTCCACCAGTCCCAGGAATGACCTGAGCTGGCTAATGTCCGTTGGCACTGATGTCTGGTTGATGGTTCCATCCTCATCCACAACTTGGGTGATGAAGGTCAACGTATCTATGATGCCGTCATAGTGAGTCGTCTTCCACCACCCGCTACCGCTACGCTTCCGCCAGCAACGGGGCCAGCTGTAAACGCGGCTGGAGAAGCTACGACGTCAAGTCAGTCTGTCCATGTGGAAAGTCCCTCTCATGACTGCTACGTAAAAACGGTCGCAGCCTTAGCCAACCATTTCTCTGCAAACACGAGCGCCATTGTAGAGCGATATCGGTTTCGCCGCCGCTATCAACAAGCCAACGAGTCGCTCGCAGAGTATATCGCGGCTTTACGCCAATTGGCGACCCCATGCGATTTTGGAACCCGCGTTGACGAAGACCTTCGCGAGCAGTTCATAGCGGGAATATCCTCGACTTCTCTTCGCGAACGACTGCTCTACGACAAAGCCTTAACGTTCGAGCGCGCCGTCGACGTCGCTCTTTACCTAGAGAAGGCCGCACAAGAAGCAAGCGCGATGCGATCACAGCCATATGCCGACGAGCCTTCAATAGCTTGCGAGGTCAATGCAGAACGTCGTAGACCCTCCCATCGACAGCAGCGAGGTAACAAAGGATGTTCTTCCTCGCGCCAGGTGTCATGGCGTCCGCCTACGTCGGAACGACTGACTACGTCCCATGCACCACAACATGACCAGCCTCTGTCTTGTCGAGCCTCAAATCGGAGTCTCTCCCGGACGTCCACTCATGACCAATCAGTGTCAGTACCACGTAATAACCGGGAGTCGGTCCAGTACAAGAAGCTCACACCCGGGCCTTGGGCACCTAGATCGCACCAGGAGACCTTGCCAGAATGCCGAAACTGTGGTTTGCACTAATGTCTAATCGCCGCGGCCTGCCCAGCGAAAAATGCCACGTGCTATGAGTGCGGTAAGCGCGGACATTACGCGCGAGTCTGCAGGAGTTGCAACCGTCGACAGAACTCCGTTCATATCCAAAAGATATTTTCCGACGACGACGAAGACGATTATGGAGTTGTGATGAACGTTACTCCTGGTGGTCGTCGATCGACCATTTACATAGACGTCATCGTCTTCCATCATGCTGTCAACTTTCTCGTGGACACCGGATCGTCCGTTTCCATCGTTTCGGACGCGGTTTTCAAGAGCCTCAAAGAGAAAAGGACCATCGAGCTTTTGTCACCACCAACGGCTTTCCTGAACTATTCACATGAGAAAATAACAGTCCTGGGAGCATTTTACGCAGATGTCTCGTACCAGGAAAAGACGGCGTTTATATTATTTTATGTTACAAACATTTGGCCTGATGACGGTTGTTCAGTCACGACGTCCCTGCCGTTGTCCCTCGCTGGGACACGACATACTTTTGGCGACGAGGATGCTTGACGGTCCCTGCTAGCCTCCAAGTTCGTCGGGGGACTGCGCGTCCTCGCCTACCTTGGTCCGCCGATCTGCGATCCTGCCGCAGCTCAATTCTAGACTCAGCGTAGTTAGGCCTTACCGCAGCGTTCGGACATAGGCCTCGCTCCGAGAACGTTGACGCAGCCTCCTGCTAGATCGGACCAGGACGTCAGATTGCCGCAAGCTGATCCGCCCTTACCCGAAGATGGCTTTTTCAAACATCGCGCCACCAAAGCCATTTCTGGATGCGCCTGGACGACCTCCGGTACCTTGGGACGAATGGTACAAGTGGTTCCAGCGCTACATGGATGCAGCTGGTGCTGTCGAGTTTTCTGTCGTTCGTCGTCAATCCCATCCTCGTCGCCAAAAGGATGTCGTGTCCTAGCGAGGGACAACGGCAGGGACGTCGTGACTGAACAACCGTCATCAGGCCAAATGTTTATTCAGGGCGCAAGGACCCAGCTCGAGAAGGAGAGAAAGACGAAGTGGCATCTAGTGGCCGAGAATTATTGGCGACGTGCGCGACCGAAAGCGTCGCTGTGGTTGGCCTTCCACGATTGGCCCAAAAGCTGACTATGACGTCGGAAAGGGTATACCATCGACGGAAATAAGAGGAATGAAAGAACTTTAATTTCGACGGTGTTGGCCGTGTTGCTTTGAGAGCGCAATGATTTCAGGCTTCCACCATGCTATTTACAAACACCATCGAACTTGTTGTTCGCAAGGTAATGACGTCACAAAGGGGAACCATAGGAGGGCGCCACCGAAACATCTCGCCGCTAATAGATGTGGCAAAGATGTGGCAATGAAAGAAGAAGTGAGAATACAACACCACCCTCCCCCTCATACAGCAATCTGTCACGCCCCCCCCCCCCCCCCCCCCCCCCCCGAAACAAAATCCTGGCTACGCGCCTACTCCGAGGTACCATGACCTGTTGTCCCGAACGAACCTTGACGATCTAAAAGGTAAACCTCCTTTTGTCAGTAGTCCGAGATTTCAAGAAAAATTGAAGTGGCCTCTCCTTAGAACCAGAAACCCTGTGCTTCTATGCAGTTTATTAAAAAATCACCGGCTTTTGTGCTTTTTTTTATTTTTGTCATTATGATTTCGAACAATTTACCGGCGAGTGTTTTTCGGACTTTTTTCTTCCGGATATATCACAGGTAACCAGATTTTAGCGGTACTTATCACAAAAAAGAGCAAGAGTAATCTTTAGAGTAATTTCGTAATACTTTGATTACATTTATTAGGAAGTAATCAAAAGTAATCCGATTACTTTCGGAAGTACGCAAATTACATGGAACAGTTACTATCTTTCCTTGCCCTTTATGATGGTGCCCCTTGTTTATGCAAGTTTCCTACGAAGGTATCCTCGAACCAATTCAGTCTCCAACAAGAGGATGTTTATCAAAATTGGTGGATGAAGAAGATAAATAGTTTGTGGTTCGGGTGATTCTAACGCAATAATGGGCAGTACTAAAAGCCTGTTCTCCCGCCTGCAGAAAAATCTGTCGTTTTGAAAATCTGAAATAATCGGAAATGATTGATGCAAGTGATTGGGAGAGCCAATCACTGCAATCTGGGCGAATGACGAGACGGAAAATATGTTTACACAGACACACACACAAAAGAAATCACTCTACGCTGTGATACTGAACATGACGTAAGCACATGAATCGTCATGCTCGGTGTCAAAAGCGCAGGCAACATTTTGTTTGTTTTAAACCTACTTCAGCCGCGTCATTCGCCCAGCTTGCTGCATAGATTGCAGCGATTGGCCCTCTTTAAAGTGCTCCCCAGTAAAGTATGAACAGGGATGGATGAATGGATGGTAATGGTCCTTTGTAACGGGCGGCAGCTTGCGCCACCTAGCCTAACATTTCGTTATCCATTTTTTTCTTTTAAATTTGTATGAATTTTGTTATAACAGACCCCCCACTTCCCCTTTTTTTAAAGTGATTTTGTGGCTTATTTTTATCTCTATTTATTCATCCTACCCTAGATCTCGTCCACCAATCTTCCAATCTCCTCTTAGATACCGCAATTCTTTCCCTATCCATTCGTCCATCCACATCTGTAAATCCCAGTGCCCCCTCCAAATCCGCAGTCATACCCTCCTCCCCCTCCCCCCCCCCCCCCCCCTTCCCCCCCGAGGGTGGGACGAGGCCCCGTGTTAACTTAAAATTCCATGTTCTATAGTTTCTCTTTCGAGGTTGCATACGTCGCACAGAGTGTCTACTTTCTGGAATTTAGCCCTGTACGTTTTCGTTCTTAGCACCCCCGTTCTAGCTTCAAACAGCAAAAAGCTCCCCACTGAATTATCATACAGCTGTTCTTTCTTTATTTCTTGTTTTTTTTTTTGTTTTTTTTTTGCCCTGTATATTGTTAAATCTGATTTCCCTTGCATTCTCTCTTCCCACAATTTCCTCTCTGTTTCCTTTACTCCCTCTTCCACTGACATGCTCTCATGGGCTCCATCTCGTTGAATGTATTTAAATCTCAGCTTGCGGGTTCGGTTTGTCCCCTTAGTGTTTACACTATTCATATATAGATACTGGCACACTTTCGCTGCCCACCGTGTATCCTGTGTCAAAATCTGCATTGTTAGCATTCAAAGAGTGGATTATAGCGTGTGTGTTTCCCCTTTTGAGGGCTACCACGTACATAGGAACACGGGTATGTCTGTGGGTCCGTTGAACAACGTGTTTAATGACTCAATACGTCAACACGGTTTGCCCTCAATAACGTTTGCAGCATCGGCGCTGTCTCAATGTGACAGGATCACCGGCCGGACATTGAGAGCCGGGCCGTTGTTCTGCGGGAATGAACTCGCCCGGGTTGTCGGAAGTAGGTTCGTCCCCAGGAGGGGCGGACCCGTCCAAGTATCAAAGATCCCGAATGGTGTACCAGTGGCAGGTCACCCGAGAAGGGCGAGGGAGAGCCGTCCACAGGGACATGCGGCCTCCCTCAAGCCTCCCCTCGCAACCACGCGCCCCGATCCGGTGGCACTTACGGCCTGCCTGAGCTAGGCCTAGATGGGATGCGGGATACACGTGGTTCCCAGAAGCGTTAAGTGCGTAGCTTAACGTTTGGTAACCTAGGCAGCACCAACCCCAGTCTGATAAGACCTATTCAATCAAACTACGAGGCCGTTGCACACAACCGAACGCCTCTACGGCTTGGACACGAGCGACGCGTCAGCGTTGGGCAGGAACTCGCGTGTAATCGCTGCGTCGGAAAGCAGTCGGATTCCTTCTCGAACCGAACTGCCCTATCGGCACCGTTGTTGTATGCAACAATGTTCGAAAAAAGAGGAGAAAGGCATAAGTAAACTGTTCTATACTATATAAAGAAAAGTTTGTGTGTTACTTTTTAGCGGAACATGGAGGTAGCCAATCACGGAGAAACATCCAGCAAATGGCGGAACTTCAAATAAAACTAGAAAGAAAAAAGAAAAAAAACTGTATGGGCGCGGTAATGAGCACATCACATTTTTTTTTTACCCGGTTGTTCGCCGTGATTGGTCTGATATGTGTACTGAAAAAACAAACAAGAATAACACAGACCTTTTTTTTTTAATGATTGGTTACAGCTTTATTTCGTTGGTGACAACGACGCTCTGTATGACAGTTTGGTTGGAGCAGACGCTTCTCCCACGTGTTGACTATATTCTTGGTTTCAAGGCTCCCACGTTGATCGAAGGGTAAGGCAGTTTCGGTAGCTGTTCGATTATAACGAAACATCTCTCAGCAGCTCCTGTTTTTATCTAAGCAAGAACTGTGTTTAATCTGACGGAGAAAGGCGTTTCTACGGGTCTTAGATTTAATTGCCGATAATTTAAGAAACGCAGGGTTTGGTTTTTTATGTTCCTTCTTGTTGCTTCTTGATTTGTTCGACAACAAAGTTTTTTCAACATTCTCGTCGGCTGGTCGGTGACACTAGCTGTTCTGATAATAAAAGGCAGAACGGGCTTGGACATGCAAGTGCAACGACCTTTAATACGACTAAAGAGCACCAACCCTGTAGACCATTTGTGAAAATACGTATAGTGCCCTCTCTGTCGAGTAACTCACTCGGAAGTCTCGAATATAGCAGCTGTTCTGAAACCGAAACAAAGAGGGAGGGTTGTTAAACGGCGTCACTTTATTTTGAAAAGGCAATTACAACAATGGTTAAAGCCATCTCCCCCCAAGTTCGCTCCTTCCTCTTGCGAGGCATTGTGAAGACTGCGGCGCAGCCTTTATGCGCCTCGTTCCGCAACCTGCGCATGCGCACGATAAGGGGAGGAGAACGTGGTATGTCTACCTGACTATTCCTCGCATGCGCATGCTCATTTTGATGAGGTTTCAAGACGCGCTACCGGATTTAAAGTTTCCGTCGTAAGTTGCGTATGGACGCCTGTCGAAGTTTTGTCGAATCTTTGTCTCAGTGAGAAAGCTCGGCTAATGCTGAATCTTGCCAAAGCCTAAACGTCAGCTAATCTCATTTATGTCGTTTCAGCGCCGAGCGTTCCCTGTCCCACCTGGATGATTTGTGGCAGCAACAGCTGCTGCGTGAACCAGTACGGAGCGTACAGGTGCAGTTCGTACACCAACGGAACATGCTGCTCGGACGGAGAGTCCGGTTGTCCTCCTGGAATGGTCTGCGTTTAGGATTTTCCGGGCCACCAAAACTAACTAAAGTTTCAAAATGTTCGGTGTTTTAGTCTTCTCTTAAATGGCTCTTAATAAAGCTGAAGGTAATATGCCAAACCGACACTCACATTTTCCTGCACTTACCGGTTGCATGACGTCACAAGTTGTAAAAGTTTCATGTCAAGCAGGCAGGCTAAAGAAAACAACAACAACAACAAATCATGTATATATAGTCTTGCCTTCGGTAAGCTTCCAGAACATTTATTTCTGACCATCAGAGGCCTTGCAAATCCGTTGAGAAAAAAAGCTCTACTGTCGAAATAAAACATCTCTCGTCACGTTTTCAGCGTTGCTAAAAGAGCCCTGCTGTTGGAAACAGCGATGAGGATCAAAACTACATATTCAATAACGTCACGAGAATTGCCGAAAATGTTTTGACATAATTCGCTTACTATAGTTCAACTGTGTATGACTGATCTGTTGAACCAATCTTGAGGCAAAATAGCAATCATTAATATTGCTCCGAGGCTCCCCTTTCTAAAAAGATAGTTTATTGCCGCCTTCCAATAACAACACACAAAAGATGATAAAAGAATGAAACGGCCGGCGAGGTGTAATTTGTTCTTAATAATGAGAAATAAATTTCAAGGGAAATGCGGAAAGCAAGTCGTCTGCTTCTTGCTCATGAGTTGCGGTGACGTCAGAGCGACACCGAACTCTGATTGGTTCGGAATGAAAGATATAGTGGGTAGGTCTCAATGCTAGATGCCTTGAGGTCTACCCACTATTTCTTTCAATCAGCCAATAAAAGCTCGGCGTTCTGGCATCATTGCAACTCCTGTGCAAGAAGCAGACGAACTTGCGCTACACCAAAGTGAAAAAAAAAAAGATTTTTTTTAACGAGTTTAATATTTCGTTTGCAAATTATTCCACTAAAAGGAACTTTTTCAGCAGTATTTACGCCGCTAGATGCAATTTAGGTGCAGAATGTGCAGGTTGCAGCCCGCTAAGCCCTGCCCCGTGCTTACAAGTTGCTTACTCTTCGTTGCTCTTTGGCTGGATAGATGATTGACGTGTGCAATGTCGGTTATAAAATTGGCTCTCTGTGCCGTAATAGCATTTTAATCGACAACATTTTTATGTTTGAGAAACAAATAATCTAGAAGGAGTCATTATTGTTTCCGAAAATATCCCGAGATATCCTTTCCGCTTCGGTTGCAAACGATAACAAACATGGGTGCCGGCGTCTGCGAAGTGGTCAACGAGAGCAGCTCGTCGAGCTCGTCTGTTTCAATGCGTGCGACTCGTTCTTCGTTCACCGAGGCGTTTACACGAAGATCTCTTGAACCGATCTACAGGGTGTTTTAAATAGCGACCAGGCTTTTTAGATCAACCGAAAAAATCGGTTTTAACCTATTGTGCTATCATTTTGTGCAGCGTTGTCCACAGGTGGTGCATTGTTTCTATAAAATTTGCAAAGAGCGGACCTACCTGAGGAAAATTAAAACAAGAAAAATGCTTAACCCCTATAAAAATGCAGAGAAGCCACCGGTCTTCAAACAATAGGGCGCCGTTTGGCACGGGAGACAAGAGATGGCGCAAGCGGTCGCGACGCCAACTGCCGCCAACGAACGAGCATACGGCGCCGAGAGCCGGCGTCATTAGGGAATAGACTACTTCCATAAAGCCCTGCATGCAACACGGCGCGCGTTGCACTCTGGGAACTAGTTGGCCAGGGAGGAGGGTGGCATAGTTTCGGTTTCGATCGACACGTCGACAAGAGATTGTTTTCTGGTCCCGAGAGCGTCCTTTGTGGTCTCTAAACTAAGCTAAATGGTCATACCTCGAAGCTTTAGCACAATCCAGAGACGTATAGCTTGTCTTAACACATGCTTGTCGTATTTTTGTACTTGAGCCTTCCTGTTAGCGTTCCAATCGAGGTATGTGGACGAGCCAGTGCTGGGAGTCTCGACGCTGCGAAGCTCGGCTGCTCGGGGATCTTGCTTGTGTACGAATCAACAAGCTGTAGCAACCAATAAGTATGCATACATCGAGCTCGCGCATTTACATTAGTGTTGTTGATCAGGAAGTTTGCTTCGTGCGTTCATAGACGAAATATTACTTTTTGCAATTGCTGTTTTTCTTAATGTGCCTGAGTACGCGAGGTAGATCTCGGAGGTGCCATTGAAAAGCTCAATTTCAACACACTTATCTCTTATCTGTACTGACCCGGAGCACTGCACGAAGTGAAGTCCCCACCCACTTGCATTCCACTAATATTCAACATCGCGTATGCGCATAAAGTTATCCTGCAATTATATAGGCAAATTCGCGCATACAGGCCGTTTTAAGAATGCAAAAGTCGAGCACTTGTGTGAAGAATGTCGCACCGTTCGCCGGTAGTGCGTCGGACGGGCATGAACCCCTATATTGGGGTTCATGCATGCCCGTCCGGCGCACGGTGCGACATTCTTCAGACAAGTGCTCGAACGGATTCAAAGCGCATTTGACGACTGCTAATGGCCATAATATTTGTTATGTGTTTGCTTTCTTCCTGCCTGAGTATGCCGAGATAATTTCAGACACACCGTTCCCGGCACAGATCTCGGGCGTCAGTAAAAGCTCGTCCAAAAGGGCTTAGCGAGGAGTAGGGGACGCTTGTTAGGGCCTCCGTCGTAGCTAGCCGATCTCAGCGTTTGCGAAAAGTTAATCTTCTATCAGCATAAAATTCTAGTGGGAGATATATGATGACACGAGGAAGACATCATAATAACTTTTGTGCAGTAGTGAGGTCGAATTTATTGCGTTTCCTTAAAAGTTCATGCGTAAACGCTGGCCTCAACTTTGATACCCTGCGAGGATGCGGCTTGCTTTTCGCCCAATGAAGTAACGAGAAGCGGACATTTGGCAAACAAAATGCGTGTAAGGCTCCAGACGAACAAATTTCAGTCTTAGTTCTCTGGTACTAGACGGGATACTGACATTGAGCTCAATGATCCACTCGTGGGGTGAGGTGACTAAGCCACGACTTACTACGTTCGCGTACGCACGCACAATATCCAGTGTTTCGGGAACCAAGGAAAGTGCCCCGGTCTTCGTTTTGTATCGCTCGAGAATGAGTGTATTGTACGTTCGTGAAAAGTCAGATAAACGAAAACGCAAGCAGCGCGTTCGGTCGCAGCGTGATAGCATGAGATGAAGCTGCTCAGTCGAAACCGAAACTGAGTGGCCAACAAGTTCCCAGAGTGCACTGCGGGGTATTTCGCCGCGATGGGGAGCGTCGGTTTTGGAAGAAGTCCATTGATCAGGGTGGTCCCAGCACCAGGTAAGTATGCCTTCGCAACCTTCGAAAAAATTAACGCTCCATAGACCTGCTACCACATCTACCCGGTTACCAAGTAGACTTGTATGGTGTTGCTGCGTTTATTTGAAGTTTTATGAGGCTCAATATTAAACTAGGCAAACACAAAGCCGTATTATTTGCATCCCTTATATTGCACCTTTGAAACATAATTGCTAAGTTTACTTTATGTTTCTCGTTTATACACCAACTCATGTTTACAAACAAACCGGAGCGCCCCTAGCGGACGCCACCGGCGCCGCGCATGCGCGGTGGATGGTGGGCAAGAAGCCCGCCTTCGCCCATAAACAAACCATTGAATTGCGTTGTTGTCGGCGTCGGTGGGAGTCCCCGTGCTCTTTTTCGCGTTGGAATTGTTGATTCTACGTCCTCCTAACAATGTCTGACTACTTGAGCGGCTTCAGCAAAACTATCGAGGCAAAACTTTGCGTGAATAATGTGACATGCGGAGATTCATTTCACGTGGACGCCGCAGAATGGGCGCTAAAGCCTGACTCCCACGATGAGATTCTGCTCGCTATTTTCAGTCGCGACGTCGCTCGGACTGCAAAAGCGTGGACCGTAGCTGAGATGGTGGACGTCGATACTGAAAACCGCAAGTAGAATCGGGCATTACAAGTCGGTGATGGCCACTGGTAACAATGATCAACAACTTCTTGTATCTGTTTACACTTATAGCCGATTTACCCCTGCCAACCTTCAAAAGTGTTTTGAGGCCTGCACTTAGTACTTATCGCAATTGTCGGGTCAACGTTTGGTTTACGGGCCGCTGTCGTTTGAACGAACTGACAACAAAAAGCAGCCAAGTTTGAAAGAGCAGACGACAGTTCGAACGCACGCGCAATGGAGTACGGGCAAGAAGCACCGCGTCCCGCGTCAACAAACCATTCGAATGTCACGTTGTCGGCGTCTGTGTGAGTCTGCATACTCTTTTTCGCGTTGGAGTTGTCGATTCTACGTCCTCATCGCAATGTCTTACCACTTCAATCGCCTGAGCGAAATTATCAATTGGCTCGTTACGCCGCTAAACTTTCCGTAAATAATTTGACGTGCGGCGATTCATTCGCATGAACGCTGCAGAATGGACGCCAAAACCATGATGAGATTCTTGTAGCTATTTTCGGTCGCGACGTCGCTCGTGCTGCAAAAGTGTAAAAGGTAGCGGCGATGATCGACGTCGATACTGAAAATCGGAAGCGGGAACAGACCAAGCGTAACAAGTAGGCGATGGCCACCGGTACCAATAATTAACATGTTGTATCTACTGTTTACACCGAGCCTACTTAAGTCTTTTGAGGCCTGCAATTACTTCTTATTGCAATCACCGAGTCAAAGTTTGGTCTACGGGCCACTTTTGTTTGAACGAGCAGACGACAAAAAGCAGACAAGTTTGAAAGAGCAGACGAAAGTTCGAACGATCAGGCGGCCGTGTGAATTTGCAGACGCACTGAATCCGTGGGTGGTCCGGACAACTTCGGGGTTTTCTCTCGTTCATGTTGGAACAAAGCAAATACATCTGGCGACCACAAATTGTGGCCCGCACTCGCAATCGTAGTTCGATAGCGTCTGGTTTGCCCTTTTCACGGCTGCTATCCACGTTCTCGGACGAACGGAGGGTGCAAAAACACATGAAAACTGATCTTCAAACCTTTCCAGACTCTCTTGGTAAAGCCCCCATCGCAGCATTTTGACGAGAAGGCAGGTTTTTTGTCTCGTTTCTTCCAAAGGAACACAGGAATGCATGTCTGGCACGGCGACTTCTGCCCACCGCCCCAGACCGGAAGTGCGTCCGGCGCGCCACCACCGCGGCGTGACGTAGGAGAGTTGAGTTGGTGTATAATATCATTTTAAAACGTGCGAGCGCCGGAACAGGGGGCGCCATCTATGAAGAGTCGAATGTACTTTGGCAAGGGTTGCCATCACGACTGGCATGGCTATATCTGTTTCCGGCGGGACCGTGTAGCGGGGGCGGGATGGCTGTGTAACTGCTTATTTTGCCTGTCGTGAAATTAGGGGGTCATATCTGGTTTGTTTATATGATGCCTAAGAAACCCAGTTTGCGTTGCCGTGTAGGGACTAACCAGTACCGACTAATACTGGCCAAGGCTGGTGAAATTAACGTCATCACATTGAGTGCTCAATTGTTCTTTGGAGTTTATGTTGTTTATTGTGTTTTGTGCGTTGACTTTAATATAAATAAAAATAAAACTGCGTGAAAAAAGTAGCGTGTAATTGTTTCCTTGGCGGAGGAAAGCCTCTACCAACAGGAAACGTTCGATATTGCGGATAGTAGAAGGAAATATGCCGATACGGGCGCAGTCTCCCATTCCCACAATGCCCTTCAAAATTATCTCCAAAGTTATCTTTACCTTCAAAATCTCGTTCTTATATTTTATCATGTATATACCCACCATTCATTTAAACTAAATGATATCTTTATTCTTTTTTTAATGAGGCTTCAATCGGGGTCATTTTAATAGATATATCAAAATATGTATTATAGCTCTTTACTATTTCATTCAAAACATCAAATCAAACATGATTCTTTCGTAAACTAAAATTTGTCTTCTTATTTTTTTCCTATTGTAGTGTTATACATTTCGACAACGGAATCACCACTAAAAAGTGTAAATCATTTATATACAAACATTCTCTGTACTCTAATATTATAAGACTCTAGTCCTTGATCTGTTTATATCTTTCGGCGTATTCTCTTTGACCTAAACATTTCAATAAATGTTTGAGTTATTTGTTCACCTGCTGCAATTTGAATGGTTTTACCTGTGCGTATTTGGAAAATATATCTATACAGGTTAAAATATATTTAAATCATTTATTTTTTCTTGAATATTTAAATCTTTAACAAGATCAGCTTGCGTTGATTTTTTATTCCGTGTACATTAACTCTGTCTTTTAAAATGGCTTCTAGGCTGGTTGAATGTTGTGCATCTTGTTTCTAAGTGAACTCTTCATTCTCTTTATACGCTTATTAGACTTGCTTTGAAGATCGTTTATTTATGAAAATCCTCTCTCAGTATCAGGATAGATGTTTCCTAGGTATTTCCTTTTTTTTTTCCTAAAAGAGAAATTTGTTAGTAGCCCATGTTTTACAGTTAAGTTGACCCATCGGTCTACCATTTTTTTTACATTTTTGCTATAATTGTTTTGACAGTTTCGTTTATGCTCACCACGGAAATAATACATTTATTTAGATATATTTTTACAGCCATTCAGTTTTTGTTGCTTTATGTATTTTTCTTGCATATAGTTTAGAAGATAATTTTCTCGTTTTGCAAGCTCTATTTATGTAATTTCATTTGATTTGTACAAGTTCAGGAGCTCTATATACAACTTGTAAGAAAACAAATATTTTTTTTCATGTAGATCACAGTTTTTCAGTTGCATCCACCAGTAAAATACTTAAACTTAAATAAGCTAAGGGGAGAAATACAAATTCAGTTAATCAACTTGTGGAGATGGCACATTTGTTGAGTTTAGAAGCACACCCCAATTTGGGCAGACCTTCTGAATACGTAAGTTTTCTCAAGTTTCATGATTTGCTCGATTAATATAGTAAAATCGTGTTTTGAATCTTGCAAAAGATTTTCCATAATATCAAATTCTGTTACACTTTCTATGCGATTTAAAATATCGTGAATACAATATTAAACCTCTCAAAAAGAGTTTACACCTGGAATCTGCAATGAGTTATTAAGAATGCCTTTATTACTCGTTTTCAGATATATATTTTGCAAGGGGTAAACCAAGTCTGCGAACGAATTTGATAACTATATTCTTTAAATCATAAAAAAAAAAAAAAAAAAGAAACGAGTTTTAGGGGTGCTCCTCTCGGCACCGGCGAACATGGCTGCGCCTGAGTACTCGCACCGCAGAACTGAAAGGAACACTCAGCGGCGTTCGATTCGACCTTTTTTTTTCTTTCTGCGTTTCCTTTAACCAACTGAACCAATCGCACGCAGAAAAAAAAATGTGCAGGACGTCACTGCACGTTCACTGTGCGCGGTTGGTTTAGTAGGCGACAGCGGACGCACAAAGACGACGGGCGCCGATGGCAATGATCCTTTATGGAGCCGTTTATTGGCTCCCTATATGATTGTAGCGGCGGCTTTCCTCGGACTTGGAGCGAAACGCGGTATATGCAAACGTAAACACGTCTGACGTCAGACGTGACGTTACGTGTGACGTCACGAGTACAATTTTTCGATTAGTTTTTTGGCGGGAAACATTTCCCACCAAATTTAGCGGGCAGATTTTACCCTCGATATGTCCCACGGTCACACGTGACCCTCCCCTCCGTACCCTTCCCTCCTCCTCCTCAAGAGCTGCGCTCTAATTCGGCATTCCAGAGAATTGTAAACATATTTCTTTTTTTTTGTGTGTGTGTGTGTTGTTATTAGCGGTGGGACCGCTGGGGAGAGCCAATCGCCGATGGCAATCAGTTCATCGAACGACGTTTCATCGACAGATCGTTTCACTGACACGCGATGTTTCATCAACAGATTGTTTCATCCAAAGATTGTTTCATCGACAGCTCAGATTAGTTTTTTTTTTTTTTTCTGTGATAAGCTGCATGAGACTCGCAGCGAAGCGGCGTGTATAGACCTTTTCTGTGTACTCTCGTCCCCAGCCGCCTAATAGGCGTATCCGGTATGGGCGACGAAAAAATAATCCAACGTCTCAACCTGCAAATAGTAAAAAAATAAAGGGGAGGCAAAACGAGAAAGTGTGACGGTTACGCTTATATCCTAAATGCCTTCTATTGGCGTGGCAAAGGCAAAACAATGTTTTCGCCCATACTGGAAGTGACGTCAATTCAAGATGGCGGCGCCCTTGTGAAAAGGGTCTATAGGTTGGTCAGGTGAGTTAACATTTTTGTAATGAGCCGCCGCATACTGTCTCCGCGAAGTGGCGTGAACGCAGGTGGAAGTGTGGGTCAACACGCATCCCAGTGATACGCGTATACGAAGTGTATACAGCGTGCAATTCATGTAACGAGTGTTGATGAAACGATCGTGTCAACGTAACGTGTGTCCATGAAAAGTTGTCCACGAAACGAGTTTCGATAAAATGATTGGGACCCGCCAATCGTTGAAACTTATGCGGATGGAGCTCGGTGAATGACGAGGCTAAAATTACACGCAAAAGCCGTCCGCGCAAGTGCACTGATCATGACGTTTGACCATGATTACTCTTGCTGTGCAGACTGTATTTTAGGTTGTGGAAGACGAGGGTGGAAGACGACGGGGTGGGAGGCACGGCATACTTAGACGTAGTTCAATTACTTTACTGTAACTACTGTAGTTTAACTACTTTTCCGAGTAACTTGGTAACTTTCAATTACAACTTAATTTGGTTAATTGGGAGTTTAATTTAAAGACCGGAGACCACTTCGCGCTTTCCACTTTTCCCTCATTTCCTCCTTTTCCTCCTTCTACCCTTTCCACCATTGCCTGTTTCCTCCTTTCATCCTCTCTACCCCCTCTGTCATCCAGCCCTGCTCCGCTAAGCCGGTGTTGGCTAAGCCCGCGGCGGCTTTGCCTGGCTTTGCCATAAACTCCAACGAGAAAAAAAAAAGGGGGGGGGGGGGGTTAGTTTACAAAAGAGCCACCCCAACATGATTGACAAGCGACTTTGAGTCCGTGCGTTGCAATGCCCTTGACTAATGCAGGTTTTTAGGCAGCATGCTGTGCACTGGAATTTCTTGGAGATATTTTTTTTTGTGACGTTTTTATTATTATTGATTTTCGTTTTTTTTTTTTATCGTTGAAATTTACGAGGGTGGTAAAGTGGCGAATTTTTTTAGTCTTTCCAAACGGCGTCCGTGAATATGGACCGAGCATCAACGTCTCCGCCTTTTGTGCCAAGAAAACACCTGAGTGACGGTACTGAAAAGGAATACGTTTGCGAGAGGAGTAGTTTTCGTCGCACACTCAATTTGACTTTTCGTTGTGAAGAGGAAATGATCAAATTTAATGATCTGTTGAACAACGCAAAGTGCACATTCAAAGGCGACCCCTTGGCAACCATTATCGCTAGAGCACTGGATATGGTTCAAGGAAAATGACACCATGTACTAACAGAAGACCGCGGCAATGGTCGAGAACGAAACAAGTGAAGAAGCATCACTTCTACTGTGCGACAAGCTTGCGGTTTCTAAGATGATGAGCGCTGTTCAAGACCATTCACGGAGATGTCCGGAAGACGTTCAGCTTGTCAAGGTGAGAAGTTTGGGATTTGCTGCTCGGCTCCAATAGACCGATGTCACCAAGCGAACTGCGCAGGCGCGCGCATTCCGGAAGTGGTGGCGCCGCCATGCTACTTGTAGTCATTCCTTCCCGGCTTCCCGGCTACATACGGCTGCGTGTACGTACATCATCATAGATTATCATTTGGCACGCCCCGGTGTCACCTTGATTCTCTTGCATGTTTTTACTTCATAAGACTGTGTTGTTTGTGATGCCTTACTTTTCTCAGCAAGTGCAGAAAAGCAGTTTGAGTCGTCTTATCGCTTTAGAATCGCTTTGTCGTCTGCTTCGTCATCGTCTGCTTCTTCGTCTTCGTGAACGCGTAAGCCCACTGCCGTTCACGGGGTAATCCCACTGCGTACGCGGAAAAAACAAAACAAAAAAACAACGGCGCCACTACTCGAGCATTCCGACTTCTCGGACGTCTCAATTACCTTGCAAACAAGTGAACATCTAGTGCAATAGCAAAGAACAAGAAAATTCGAGGGACAATCGGCTCGGTGTAGCACCACAGAACAGCATCAAATGTGATGAAAAACTGAGCTTGGTGGTGCTGAGTCTTGTGCATAACGTTTACTCAGCCATCAAGTAAGAGGAGCTAAATAGACTTTTTCGGTCCGCGATAGTTTTCTAGAAGTTGTTTCATTATGGTTGACAGCCTGTGCGACAGAGTACAGATGAACAGCGGGAGAACCCTGCACAGAAAGAACTGATCTACAGAAAGGCCATGCCTGACGCGCCGTAATAATTGGAGTCTATCGAAAAGAAGCAACCATGCCAGATACCTGAAAGCTTGGGGTAGAGATGATTTGTCTTGCACAGTTTCTATTCAGTTTTATTTAGTTTGCGCAAGATCCGAACGCTAACAGTCGCCCGACGGGGGAAGCTTTTTTCTGCGGTCTTGACTGGTGCTAATGCAGAATGGATCAGGAACACCAGCCTAATAGACCACCACAAAATGGATGAGGTTCGTTTGTTACATTTTTGGCGGTAAGTGGGTGTTGCACTTCTAAATTGCATTATGTAATCTTTTCGCGTAGGTATGGAAAAAAACAACTAAAGGCTGCTTCCGAAAAAAAGTTGTATTATATCAAGTGGTGCATATCGGTAATCGCTGCTCTTTTTTAGTGATTGTCCTGATCTTTTGAAGCACAGTTGTGCTTGAAACATGTCGTCGCAATGCCAGTTATAACCACCAAAATACACCGAGTAAGAAGTGTATTAAAAACGGCCTCCGCAAAGCAGTGCGGAGGTTCTATTTGAGATAGACCAACGAATAGGGCGCTACGGAGCGAATGGTCAGAGAGATTCCAGCTTACGGAACACTTCGGCACGCTGTATGTCTCGTGCCCTGTAATCTTACATATTATAGCTGACTTGCAATACTTGGATATAAATTATGAAGCAAATCGCGAAACAAATCGTAAAACGCAATTTTTCCTGCCGCTCTGTCCGGCTCTGTCGACCTTTCTTTGCCATGCTTCTTTCTTGCGGGAAGACATAATATCCGAGGCCTTTTTGCCTGGTGCTGTTATTATAGCTCCGTGGCATACAAAATGTGAAGCCACCGATTGAAAACCATGAGTCAACACCTGGCTAAAAGTCTCGTGCTAACCCGAAAATTTCCAAACGCCGGGCGTACAATGCGCACCGACGCGGCCGGGAAACTGGGGAGAACTACAGGTACCAGAATGCACCGCGGCAGCGGTGGCGTCGCGCAACTCCTCGTGAGATCGGTCTATTCAAGTGTCGCAATCATTCTCTTATTTTGGATACGAGCTCTACAGTCGGACTTCTCCGTGTTGTTGACTACTCTGTTGCTGTGGCATTCGTGTGCAGCGGGATGCTGAAGACGCAATTTGAGAAGTTTTGCAACTTCAGTGGGCTCCCTTATTCACGTCGCTCACTAGAAAAGCTGAACCCGCAGATTGGAGCAGCAGTGGCCATCCTGAAGATGAGTTCACTGGCAGAAGCTCAGCAAGCTGAAGCTCGGTCAACAGAACAGCGGGATGAATCAGTGACGTCCATGAACATTGAAACAGACGCCAGGCACGCCTGCAGAAAAAATTCCTACCACACCGACGTTGTTGCTTTGGGACAAAAAAGTCACTAGTGGTAGGAATCGTCCATGTCACAAAAAAAGAAGAGCCGTCGTCCCAGAAACACGAAGCGGTTGGCACAAAACGGCTGTACGAATATTTCTCCAACAGGAACATATCCGTTGGGGACCATGCTCACGATCGTAACACCACCGTCAACAAAATTATAAGAGAAAAAAACGGGACAAGCAACTCCAATGATAGATGGCACGCCGTCAAGGCAACCAACCCTAAAAGGAATGAAGATGATAGCGTTCGGCACGAAAAAAATGAAGGGAAGACGTGGCATGCCGAGCTATCGGACAAATGCAAGCCGGTACGCAACCACGCCTACTTCGCAAAGGCAACCTGCGATGGCAGCGCTACCAAGTTGCGGAACACGCTGATGAACTGCGTCCATCATTTTTGTGGACGACATAAACAGTGCGATGAGGACTCCCCCTGCAAGTTGAAAGGGTATGTACCCACCGCGCTGCTAATTCAAGATCCGTTTGCGGAGGAGCTGTTATTCTATTTCGTGAGATCGACTACGATATTCAGAAATGCTGAAGACTATGTCGAAGCAAAGGATACCTACCATGTTGAGTCATTCAACAACAGCATGCTGATTTATTTGGACAAGAGGGTGCACTATCTGGATGACACGTACAACCTCAGGCAAAGCCTTGCAGTGCTGGGCTGGAACGAGCATGTCGGTCGGCACCACACGTCGACTTACTTCATCGAAGACTCCCGTCACCCCGATCGGCAAGGCGGGAAGAAGAATTACACTAGGAAGACGTACGTAATTGAATCATTCTCTTACTGCCACCTTATTTAAATCTACCGTTGTTACCATGCCTGCGACTTGTGGGCGACAATAGACCATTTGCGTAATTCCCAAGCACCAAGGAGTAGGCTGGCCTTTCCTTTATGAAAGATTTGGAGTAAATACTGCCTAAAACCACGAAGCTATTTTGTGTTTAGATCCGAAGATGTACTGCTGCAGACGCCCATACGTGACGCAGTGCGAGTGCCCTATGTCCACGATTGCTCCTGGTGCTTTCATAATTTTTCAAAGGGCCAATTCTTAATAACACGTGCATCACTGTATAATAACGCAAGCCCAAAATGTATCATTGGCATTGTAACTAAAGTGCCAAAAAGAATGCTGGGAGTGAATGGCACTCCCACACACGTCGCGCACGTGCTTGCTGACTGTGGAAAAAATAAGCAAAATGCGAACAACGCGCGTGCAAAACTATACTGTTTTTGCACGCAAAATACATTAATGCGATGTCGTCACTGCCTCTTCTCAACATCTGGTGCTGGCCTCCATTGTGCACATGATAACACCATTCAATGACATTGTCCATTTTTCAAATTGTGCAGCTTCTGATCTAAATACTGCTCGGTTCCATATCGTCTTTGTGTCCCTCAGTGTTTCATTCCCTTCCAATAAAATAAAATAACAAATCTCAAGATAGGAAAAATTTCCACGTATTACTCACTTAAAAATTTTAACGAATCGATGAAAGTCATGCTATGTCTGGATATACACTTTCTTAATATCTGTTTATTGTTAAATTAGTTTCGTTCACGATATCCGGCGTCTGGTGCTGGATACTGCAGCCGTGAACGAGACGAGCCACGTGACTGACCAGTCCATCTCCGAAGACGATTCGTGAATTCCAGGTACGGTCGCCGGCAGTTGTTTCTTAGTAGTCGACAACCTAAATCTTAGGGCTGAAATGGCATGCTGTTGTCATTACAGCGCATCCCCGTCTAGCAGCTCGTAATATTGTGGACGCAATTACGTCCGCGAAAACGTCCTCGAAAATAGAGGTCGTGCCACATTTTAAAAATGTATTATAAAATGTACTTCTATTTTAGCTACATATTGAAATTTTACAAATTACTGCTAACGTCGCGCATGTGTGCATAATTTTATGCGTTTATTTTTATTCTTCCAGCCCCAAAGCTCCTGCCATACCCCTCGGAAGGCTGAAAGATCGAAGATATGATGACAAGTGTCTCACACAACCATGTACAAATAATGAAATTTGAATAATGGCGCGCCAAGCTAGCCTTATCGCCACTCCCAGACTGGTAACTGAACACGACGCGGAATTCTTCAAAATAAAATGTGAAGAGCTGCTTTGGAATTGTCAATGATATTGCAATTTGTCCATCCTTGCGGCCAAATATTTGTTTATGCCTGTTTTGAATTAGTCAGTGTGATTTTTTTTCCTGTGTTATAAGTTGCTTTGAATTTACATTGTATAAACCCTCGTTAATGTAATACATCAGTAAGGACGTCCTTGATGAAAATAAATTAAATTTAGTTTCCTCATCTACGAATATATGTTTTCCCGCCATTCCAGGTGATAGTTGTTTTCTGCCACGCGGTTGGCAGTACAGATAAGCTCACGGGTCTGCATATATCCAAATGGCTTGATGCAGTATGTACAGGAGATAATGGTTTTCGAGAATGTCTTTATAAAAAAACAAATAATGACATACATGAAGAGCCGACAGCTCGGTGTTTATTCCCAAGTGTGCCCCACGTAGGACACACCAACAGGGTTTGGGTGCAATGCCCGGGCGTGATCAACAACGCATGCCGGCATCAATTCGCGTTTTGTGTAGACACCATGCCCAGCATTCCTCTTTCTTGATAGATATCTGGGGTCCCGCCATACTCCAAGATTGGCAAGACATGCCCAGAACATTTTGTGGTACATTTTCCGTAGCCCCCGATTCTTCGGTGATGCCTTCTGGCCGGCGCCGATCTTTACGTGGCCTTGGCGCACAATACAAGGATCGCAAAAGCAATCACTACCCATTGCACAAACGATGCAACCGTGTTGATGATCTGATGTTGTTCATCCTACAATGAGAAGAAAGATACAGTGTTCATGAGAATTCATACGGTAGTTCGTATTTTATAGGCGAAGACTGAGGACATGTAACAGCCGTTCCCGCAGAACAAATGCTTGTTTTTCAAAATCAAAACAGACATTGATGTATACAAAATAATACAATGTAGCCTGTTTTTTTTTTCGTATTTTTCTATTTTTTGCGCGTTTAGGGGGCACGCTCCCCGCTAGTTTTAGAATTTTCGAACGCCATCAATTCGATATATACATATATATATATATATATATATATATATATATTTATTTATTTATTTATTTATTTATTTATCTAGCTCGCAACAGAAAAAATATGTTTTGCCACTCACTTTCCCTGGTGACTGTTGATGGTAGAGTGGATTTCCCAGGCGAAGACGTCGTGCAGTGCGAGAAACAAACGCGGTTCTCGTTTCCTGGTCCTAGAGCGTTTCCTCGCTAATCCTCCGGCGCAGAGTGTGACGCCTGGACCCCCAAATCCGGACGGCGCGCGCAGACTCATGCACGATTTTTTTTTTGTCCCCTCTTTCTATCCTTCGCTTCCCTCGCCCCTTGCTCAAAGACGTGAGAGGAGGAAAGCATTGCAGAATATCGGGTTTGGTATCCGGCCTTTAACTAAATTTTTCAGGTAACTTCTACTCAAATTACGAACTTCTTTCAAAATCTAGTGCGAATATTGCTCATAACGAAAGTTTGAGCGCAGAAATAATTAAGACACCCGCAGATTAAGTGGCATTCCCCTCACATTCCATTCCCACGTACTTATACTCGGCAGCTGTAGAAATTGCATTACAGGCGTCCTTGGGCCAATGTGGCGACGAGCAGCCAAAACGTAACACTGGCGCGCACGAATGCATGCAGAGATGCTTGACAAGCCTTGGTCGGGTATTGACCAAATCCGGTAATGCACGCAGGCGCCACGCCTCCAGCTGCAACCTTGAAAGACGGGTACACTCCGACAATTGTTGTTGTTTTCATGTTGTCTGCCTTTAGTGCGTTCTGACTCAAACGATTTGGAAGTTCCACAGAAGGCGCCACTGGAATGACCTCGCAGCTGCACGCCTGTTCCATGGTCGCCTCGTCGTCAGCGCATACTCCCTTGCCCAAAGCTGGACTCCCCCAAGCACAAACGCAGACACGGATAATCCGTTCACGGGAGCACGTTCCCGCTTCCAGCTGCAACTGTACAATCGCCTATGATTGTTAATATAATCCTTCGCGTCCTTCCGACCTTCCACGCCAGGGTGACCTCCTCTTTGTTGAAAACGTTTTACTTATCAGGCGTGTCAGGCGCGTCAGGATGGGCCGTGGTCGCCGGTGAGGATTGCGAGTCACTCTTGAGAGATCCTTTTGTTGGACCCGGCGTCAGCGACGAAGTATTCTTGATTTCATCTTCTGTTAAACCAAAACATTTTTTTTCTTTTTTCAGTAGCATAGCACTGGCATTGCATCGACGCAGTCGTCCGGATGATTTCATCGTCGTGGCGCGAGACTTGATCCCTTGACGTCAGGTGCACACGGTCACCGTACTTTCCGAATGTCATGGGAATAAAGAGGGGCCAGTCATAACAACCTCAACTTGCCGAAGAAAAAAGGAAGGAGAGTTTGTTATAAAAGACCCTCTAGCCGAGGCAAACCTTACATGTTTCGTCATGGACACCAAAGATGCCGACACTCGCTTACCTGACTTTGCACAGCCTGTTTCTGAAATTCAACGCTGCCTTTCTATACAGTGCCACGGTAGAACGTTGTTTTAGCTTGGCAGGGGACGTCTTTAGGAGGAAAAGGGGAAAACTCTCCGATAAGAACTTTGAAAGTTAATTTCTTCTGTGAGCGAATAAGCTTATTTTGAGAAAACGCAAGCCATATAAAATGATTGCATTTATTTTGGGCTCGCAGGGATATTCACATATCAAAACTGCTGTTCATTTTGATACCAGAAAAATATAAAAAAAGTAACTTCTTTTTTAAGTAAAAAAGTAAAAAAAAAAGTAAAGTAAAAAGTAACACTATGATGGTGCGCTTTTGACGCTGCCCTCTTGGTCCTATCAACTCGTGGCGTCGGCTGCGTCTGGTCTTAATAACTCCTCCCATAGATAAGAAAGTGGAAGTGGGGAATTCATGGCGTCACGTTCATTCGAGATGCATCACCAAATAATCCCCGTGTGTACTATCCTCCAGTCCTCATGTCTACGGCGCCTGGAACGCGCCTCCCTCTGGTGTGTTCGGCGTCCCATGCGGAGCTTAAGTTCGTCTGCTTCTTTAACGCCGAGCTCTGATTGGACTCTGATTGAAGAATAGTGGGTGTAGATCTCAAGGTAGCTTGCTTTGAGGTCTGCCCACTACCCTTCAATCATAACAAATGGCGTCCAAAATGCTCGAAACCAAAGAGTTCTACGAACAACAAACACAACCCGAAGGTATCGTTATCACCATCCCGCCATTCGTATCTCTTGCGTTATCTTTATATTTACAGTGAGTATATTGTTGCCTATAGCCGAGGGTTAACAAAGGCAGACACGACCGAGTCTGATCAGGTGCTTTTGTGGAGTGATTTGTGCGTTGGGAGAAGTTGACATTACACGCCCCTTGTACTGGCAAACCGGATCTTCGATTCGCTAGAGAAACATGGTAAGAGTGGCTTCATTTTATTGTTTATACAGCCCGCCAGCATTATTAAACAAACAAAATGAGGAGCAACTTAGAATGAACACTTTGGGGACCGACGTATAAGAAGTGATGACCATGATCTGCTTCACTGGTTTTACATGAAAAAACAAAATGTATGCACAATAATTTATTATTTGCATATTTTAGCTTGGAGTCGCATTTAATTGTACTCTCATCCTGAAATATGTTCAGTCCTCGAGCTTGCAGCTTCACACAGAAAAAAAGAAGTATATTCTTACACCCCTTGTCACATATAATACACCCCAAAACTTCAGTTCGACGTACAGCACACTGACGTTGAGCGGACGGTACCAACGTTAACGAGCGGCTTGATGGCCGCTCGTGAAGGTAGCCTTTTAGAAGGAGCAATCACACAACAGTAAGGGGCAGAAATTGCATGTTCGGGTTAATGTAAAACCCTACCGGTGAGTGAACGTTTGAAAGCAGATAGAGCTCTGTCCCACACCCAGGTACACACAGGCCGATTAATAAATGACATAGCCGGAATATAGACGCTTTTAAGCAGTTGTGCATGGGCGCCGCCATGACAGGCCTTCATTTCTTGTTTCCTCTTATTCCGTTTACTTCACTTCGTCATTACCATAGCAGGTAAAGAAGTTGCCATTTTAGATTGTACTGTGTCCTCAGCATTGACCTTTGTGGAGGCTCGTCAACGCCAGTTTCAGTGGCTTTGGTATATCGGTGAGAGAAGACAAGGCCACCAGTTGCGGCCGTAATCCAGCGCGTGTATAAAGCGTCTATATTATCTCGATCACGATATCTTTCTTTCTTAGGAAGTATTTTTTTAAATAATAGTTCTAAGAAGGTAAGTGTTTTGAAACAATGAACTTATATTAGACATTTCATTATTAAGCTATAATTTAGATAAACGCTCTTTACTTTTACATCAGCTTTAGTGCTGTGCCAAAAACGCTAGGAATGTTAGTAGATAAAGGCACTCGATGGGTAATTAGCTAGCGTTCAGAAGAACGTCACCGCAACCATCTTGGTGCTCAAAATCATTGTTTTCAGTTATCTGTAACTTTATCTCGAAGCGCAGAAAACGCTTATCCATTTCTCCAGAAATGTTCCAACAAAGTGAAATCACTTGAGCTTTCTGACACCGTATCTATGTGGGGAGCAAGTCGTCTGCTTCTTGCGCAGGGGTTATTGTGACGTCAGAGCAACGCCGAGCTCTGATTGGTTTCGATTGGAAGGATAGTGGGTAGACTTCAATGCTAAATGCCTTGAGGTCTACCCACTATTTTTTTCAATAAGAGCCAATAAGAAATTTGCGTTCTGACATCATCGCAACCCCAAGTGCAAGAAGCACGAAACAAAATGGCGGCGCCCACAACACATTCGAGGAAAAAAGTACCGATTCTCTGAAACGCAGCTCGTTTAGTGGTTATATACACTTGTCCAAGATACACTCGACCCCAGGGCCGGTTTGCTCATCTTGCGGCTGCGGTCGCGGCTGCGGCCAGGAGGGATTTTTACGTCACGTGACCAGCTCCATCGGGACAAGGAAGTACCTAGCGTCCCTGCCTTATGGCGGAGTGATCCG